AGTAGTTAAGAGCGAAAAGAAATAAGCCAAAATATAAGAATATAAAAAATATTCTGAAAAATATAAAAGCAAAAGATCAAAGATGATTAGGCTAAGTAAAATTTATTAGTGATAGTGAATAGTACCGAGAGGGAAAGTTGAAGAAAGAACCCATAATAAGGGAGTGAAAAAGAACCTGAAACAATAAGTTTATAGAATAAAAGGATAAAAATAATCCAATTATTTACCTTTTGCATAAGGGGTCAGCATGTAAATTAATTTAGCGAGGGTTAGAACCCAAAAGAAATAAAAAGAGTTAAATTAATTTGACCCGAAAGTTAGTGATCCAGTCATCATCAGATTAAAAATATAGATCGAACCTATTTACGTAGCAATGTAATTGGATGAATGGTGATTAGTGAAGAAATTTTTATCGAACTAACTGATAGCTGGTTGATCCAGAAAACTATAGTAGTAGTAATCTTAATAAACATTATATAGAGTACCGCACTGGGATAAACTAATCGAGAAAATTTATAATAAAAAATGATATTAAGAATTCAGATAATAGGTGATAAGATCTATTATCAAGAGAGAAACAACTCTATCTATAAATTAAAAATCCGAAATGCATTATTAAGTGAAAATAAGATTCTTTATTGTTTAAAAATTTCAGAATGTGTGCTTGGAATCGGCAATCATTTAATTATATCGTAACAGAAAACTGAAAAAAGAGAAAAGAATCGCAAATAAACGGATCTAAAGATAAGCTTTTTTAATTATAGAATAATAATTTAAAATTATTATTGGTATGGATCCAAAATCCGATTTGGGATTTTAGTTAATGCTGACATGAGTAACGTATAAAAGAGTTTAAGCTCTTTGGCCGTAAAATCTAGGTTTTTGACGTAAATGAAAATTCGTTAAAGTTAAATGGTATCTAACCTAATATTAGGGATGAAAAAAGAAAAACTGGAAAAAAAGATATTACCATACTAAAACTAACACAAGTGATTTTATAGAATTATAAAAATAATTCTCAGGCTTTCGAAGAATCATTTTGAAGGAACTCGGCAAAATTAACGCTGCAACTATCGACCAAAAATACAACTGTGCGCAAAATAAATAATGAAGTATGCGCAGTGACTCTTGTCCAAGTCTACGAAGTGAAAATTAAAATAAAAATTCTTTTGGATTTTCTTTTTAATATAAGCCGTAGAGACTGACGGTTGTAATTCTAACGATCCTAAGGTAATAAAAGCTGCCTTAGATTAAAATCACAAAAAAATAGGTAACTATTTGAATAAATTTAATATTCTAAGAGACTAAGTGTGATAAAACATTAAAAATGTTTAAGTAATAGTCCTTACCATGACTTTATTAATAATTTTATGATAATATTTGAGCGAAATTCCTAGGCAAATAAGTATTGTCCTGCATGAATAGAAGAATGACGGCGTAACTAGAGATGGTTATGATAAATTTTATATAAAATAATTGGAAAACAATTAACTTGTTAATCAATTAAGAAATTTAAGTAAAGTAAACTTAATTCTTTTAGAGACTAAATATAAAACAAGAATTATCTTGAAAATATAGTCCTTATACTCGATTTTTAGGTCTCCAAAATGAATCGAGTGAAATTACAATATCGGTGCAGATGCCGATAATATACTGAGGGACGAGAAGACCCTAGAAATTTTATATTGATTATACGCTAATAATTTAACGTATAAAAAAATATTTAGCTGGGGCGGTATCTTCCTAAAATGTAACGGAAGATTTTATAAGGTAAAATAAAAATGCTTTTGCGTTTTAATTATAATGGAATAATTTTGCTTGACTGTATTAGACTTATTAGTCAATCAGGGAGATTTTTCTAAATCTCGAACATAATTAACTGGATAGCAGCTATGCTGGTATTCAATCATAAAAAATAATTACTCTAGGGATAACAGAGTAATGTTCGGTATCAGCCCGCATGGTACCGTTCGTTTGCTACCTAACAGAATAATTATTATTATATAAAAAATATAGGTTACTTAGTTAAATATTAAATAAAAAAATATATATAATGAAAAATAATTTAATAAAAATAACCCAATATTTAACAAATTATTTAATAATAATGATAAAATATAAAAATTCATCGGGGTAGTATTTAATTTGTAGTTTATTGAAAACCTTTTAGGTAATCAATTAAGGAAACTAAAATTCCTTTTAGAGACTAAATACAAATCAAGAATTATCTTGAAAATATAGTCCAATAGAAAGAAAAACTAAAAATTTTCTTTTAATGCGATAACTAAACGACGTCGAGGTTACTATTGGTTAAATTCAGTGAAAAAAATTTTTAAACTGAAGGAAATATTTCCTCAACGACTAAACACCAATAAATTAATTTCAAAATTTAGAATAAAAATAAATAAATATCATGAAAAATAATAATAAAATTTTTAACATTTATCTTTTTAGCTCAAAAAGTAATAATTTCTATGATTACTTTATTATAAGTTGGGTTAATTTAGATGAATCTAAAACTATTAATGATATTAAAAATAATTTAAGTACTAAAACAGGTATTTATTGTTTTTTTAATATAAAAACAAAAAGAATATATATTGGACAGGCTAATAATTTATATAAAAGATTTAATAATCATTAGAATTTTAAATTAAAAAGTAATACATAGTTACAAGAAGCTTTTATTAAAGACGGATTAGAAAATTTTAAATATAGTATATTATCTTTTTATGAGAAAACAGGTGATATTAAAGTTGATAAAAAAAATTAGGATACTTTAGAACAAATTTATTTAAATTTACTTTGGACTTATCCTAAAAATAAGAGATATAATATTAATCAATTTGCTAGTTCTACTTTAGGTTATCGCCATAGTAAAGAAAATTTAAAACTAATAGGTGAAGCTAATAAAAATAGAATTATAACTGAAGAATTTCGTAAAAAAAAGAAAAATATTAATACTGGGAGAATTATTTCTTTAGAAATTAAAGAAAAAATTTCTAAAAAAAATCCTAAAACTATATCTTTACAAATCTTTTATTCAGATGGTTAGGAACATCCTCTTTCTCCTTTTATAAGTATAAATAAAGCTGCCAAATATTTAAATATTCATAAAGATACAATTAGAAAATATTTAAATTCAGAAAAAATATATAAAAATTTTTATTTTAAATCTTTAAAAAATTAATTTAAGTTATAGTCTAATCTTAAAAAAAAGATTGGTCGGCTAAAAGATGAGCCGATAAATATTAAACATAAAATTGAAAAGTAAAAACAAGTAAAAACTTATCAATTAGAAATATCTAGATTTCTTTAGAGACTAAATGTTTAAAAAAGTTATATAACTTTTTTGTTATAGTCCAAGTTTTAATTAACTTTATTTTGCATCTTATCCTCGAACTGAAGAAGGTTCGAAGGGTGCGGCTGTTCTCCGCGTAATAAGGTACGTGAGCTGGGTTTAATTATGGACCCATTAATTTAATTTTTATTTAAATTAATGTTAAAAATTGGGTGAATTGCAAGAACAAGTCTTTGACTTAATTTGCAGCGAAGCTTATATCAGTGCAATTCTTTTAGAATTTAGATATAAGAACGTCCAACGACTAATCGGTGAGTTGCACTAACAATAATCCGGACACGAGTGCCCAACATAAAATTATAAATATATTAATATATTTATTAACCTTTTAGTTATTTAGTAATATAGAAAAAGTTTTTAATGGAAAGAAAGTTAAAAAATAAAAATAATCTTAATAATAATCATCAAATATCCAATTTACCTACAAATTTTATAGGATGGTTTCATGGTTTTTAGGATGGTGATGGATATTTAGGTCATACCAAAAATGGTGATAAAATAAAATGGGAATTAAATTTTAATTTATCTATAAGAGATCAAGAATTATTAGAAATAATTAAAGATAAATTAGGTGTAGGAAAAATAAAAATTATTAAAAGTAATAAAAATCCTACAATACGATATACTATATATATGAATGATATATGTAAAGTAATATTACCAATTATTAATTAGGATAATTTATACACTAAACATAGATATTGGCAATTTATTCTTGCTTATAAACTATTAGATCAAGAAATTTCAGATTTTAATTTAAAACCTTATTAGAATAAGGAAGCAGATATCCCAGATTTAACTGTGAATAAATTAATTAATAATCCTTTATTCCATGATTGGAAGGTTGGGTTTTTTGAAGCTGAAGGAACTTTTTATATAAGTAATGATAATGCAGGTTGGGCAATTACTCAATCTAATAATCCTATTATATTACAGGCAATAAAACAATATTTAAATTTAAATAATAAAATTTCTATTGAAAAACGTGATAATACTAATCAAAAAATAAGTTCTAGTTCTATTGAGGGAATCCAAAAAATTATTAATTTTTTAACATACCCCAATAAAGCAAAATTATTAGGTTATAAAAAAACACAATATAATTTATGGTTAGATAAAATAAAATCTATGCCAAAATATAAAAATATTAATATTAAATATATTGATTAAATTTATGATTACATAGTCTGAACAGATTGGTAACAATCTGAATAGTTAAATTAAAATTTTAACTGATAGATAGGGAATAACCTATCTTGATAACAATATAGCATACCGTCGAAAGACAGGTAGTACTCTATCTTCAGTATAATTAGTAAAATAAAAACACATTTTCTTAGTACGAGAGGACTGGAAAATATAGACCAATGATTAAAAAAGTTACGTCTATTAAAGAGAATTCCTGAAATCATATAAAGGAAGAAACATAGTTTGAAAAAATTTTACTTATTATTAAAGTTATAGAACATAACTATGAAAAAGATATAAATCTTTTTTTATGAATAAATTCAATTAAATATTATTTTTTCCTAATTTCAACTAAAAAAATTTTTTTAATTTTTCTTAAAATTTTAATAAAAAAAAAAGAAAAAACTTTCTAATAAGAGAAAAATAATTCTTTTAAAGAATTTTCTTTTATTCTCCTATAGTGTAATGGTAGCATATAAGGCTCATGATCTTATGGTGATAGTTCAAATCTATCTAGGGGGTAATAAAATGGGATGAGGGAGTAGCCAAATGGTAAGGCAATAGTTTTTGGTACTATGATGTATTGGTTCGATTCCAATCTTCCTCTAATTTAAGGAGTGCCTGAATGGTTAGGGAGCCGGCTGTAAACCGGTGCGTAAGCAATGTAGGTTCGAATCCTACCTCCTTCAAGATAGCCCCAGTAGAGGAATGGTAGACTCAGAGGACTCTAAATCCTAGATATGTTGGTTCAAGTCCAACCTGGGGTAAACTGTTGTAGCTTAAT